AGTCCCTTTCCCTTTGGTAACTATTAGTCCATTCTTGGGTTCTGTGATTCTGCTGCTGTTTTGTTCCTTCAGTTTTCCTTTGTTCTTATACTCCACAGATGAGTGAAATCATTTGGTACTTGTCTTTGTCCACCTGGCTTATTTCACTGAGCATAATACCCTCCAGCTCCATCCATGTTGTTGCAAATGGTAGGATCTGTTTTTTCTTATGGCTGAGTAATATTCCATTGTGTATATGTACCACATCTTCTTTATCCATTCATCTACTGATGGACACTTAGGTTGCTTCCATATCTTGGCTATTGTAAATAGTGCTGTGATAAACATAGGGGTGCATCTGTCTTTTTCAAACTGGAGTGCCGATTTTTATAGGTGAGACACTGTGAACATACAATGAACTGAAACTAAGTCTGGAGTCTGGACGTATTGAAAAGAAAAATCTCTTAAGCTCTCAGAATTAGTAATGATAACGCACACACACACACACACACACAAAAACTGACTTCTAACAAAGACAGTCTTCACATGTAGAATCCATGCTATGTGACAAGGAATTTGTAACAGCTGAAAAAAAGTTGTTGCTAAGAAGAAAATTGAAAGATGCTATGTATCAATGTGTCTAGTTTTCCTCTTTTCATGTTTGGGACTCTCATGAGAAATTTTTCAAAAATCAATGAAGAATGTCCTTTTCTCTCCTATTTCCCTACAATGAAGATCTTTTTGACTAAGAAAAAATGGAGAAGAGCAATTACTCCGTTAGTTTAATTACTCTCCTAATTATAACGATAACCTTGTCACATTATCATAATTCCCCAAATAGAAAATGCAAGCTCCAAATTGCTCCAATATTTGATAATTTTACCTTGTTAATGGCTCACTGTCAGTGCACAGAGCACTACATTTTTCTGCTGCATCTTTCTATTATGGTGTATATTTTTTTGCCTCAAGTATGATATTACATTCTGTACTTGTTTGTGTTCCACCACCCCATGATTTGAATGCAGCTTTTTAACAGCTCCTCAGAGTTTCAGAAGCTATCTCCTGAGCAGTATGTAATTCTCTGCTGACTTAATGGTAATGGTTGCTGTACATGTGTCTGGAGAAAAGAGAGCACAGTCTGGGGTGAGAAAGTAGCTATTTATCAAGGTATCTTACAATCTCAGTTTATGCTGTTGTAAAATGTTCCCAGACATGTTCTGTGAGATTATACCCACTGGAAATTTGTCAGTCATTGTCAACATACTGTAAGGAATAAGGACATGTATTATTCTCGTCAAATTAATTTTTATTTTGTATTTTTTTGCCTTCATTTTCAAAGAGCCTGACTAGCAGGGACACTTGCTTGATGGTGCCATCTGTTAGATTATGAATTGTGCAGAAGGAGTGCAGGAAATACACTAGAACACTTGCAGAACCCTGGAAGGTAGCCTACAAGGCATCCTGATGCATGGCTCATGCCTGTCTGGACATTCTCCCTCCGTTATTATAGCAGGTGATACTGTTGACAACCAGCAGAGTTAAGAATGGCTGCCTTGTATAAAATGATAAAGGCCGAGTGAGATAAAATAGAATCGTACCAGAAGCCTTTCCAAATACAATGATAAATTTCTGTTATTTTAAAATGTATAATAATGTGGCTCTGAAAATCATGAGTTCTTTAGACAGATCCAGCCTTTGGTAAAATTATTAAATTGTGACTGTTGTCTTTGTATTGTGGTGTTGTTTGTTTTTAATGCCCCTAAAATTCCAGAGTTCCCCATCCTCACTTCTACAGGACACTTCAGTTACCATATCCCTCCTTTGTTCTCAAGCTCTTACCAGTAAAACTAGTCTCAAGATAAGGTGGAAACTCACTCCCACTACAGTGAATATGACTGACACCAGCGTTAAATTTTTCTTTTTTTCTGAAAGCATGTGCATTTTAAAATTATAGGTAGAGCATTGGATTAAATGCAAGTAGTTTCTGAAATGGAATGTTTGGGAGGTACTGAACATGCTGGGAAGAATGCTTATGGGAGGAAAGGCATTATTTATTTTTGAAAGTTCACAACATACCTTGCCAACATCTTAAGTCCCTCTGACTTACTCATTTTTCCAAAAGGATATTTCAAAAGACACAGACATTTCTAGAGTTCAAACCCAAAGTCATTGGAATGTCATGTAAAAAATTTTAATTCTTCTAATGATTCCTGGATTTTCCATGGAGGGTGTGTGGCAGTTAGCATCAAGAAGACGAAGTCTGAGTGCGATCTCACCCACTTTTCAGACTGTAAGGATGTAACGCAGGTTATTTGGCTTTCTGGAAGCACAGTCTCCTCCTCTGTAAACTGAGGTTAGTAATACCAGCATGGACTTGGTTTGAGGAGCAGATAAGATGACAACAAGTCTTGGAGAGGGGGAGAGAGTAGATGGGTGTATAATGTTAGCATCTTAAGTCTAGTTCCTAACTCGTCCTTTTACTCCATCTTTCTTTGAGTTCAGATACAAGGTCTCTAATATATTTTGTAATTGTCCTAAAGATGATGATGCTCATGGGCATCAATTCTTTTCCTGTTTTTTAGGACATTCTTCAGGGAACAACAGTTCAATAACAGGAAAGAATGTCATCATGTGATAGCATCTGCATATTGATGGTTGACCAATATAATCAACCCAGAACATAACTGGTCAGAATGGCCCAGGAGAAATAGCCCAATGAAATTTCCGTGAGGGAAAATCAATGGACTGTAAGAGAACTCTGAAAGAAAGGCAAAGCTCTTGAGTCCCAGAGACCTAGGAGGCATTGAGAAGCCATGTGGACTAGAACCTGGGCATTCTATTCTGATCTTCCAAGACTGCTTCACAGTGTTAAATACAAAGATAAATAATAAATAAATGTATTTTTTTCAGATCTATTTTTTTCTTACATAAAGTTAGACATCCAGAAGCATCTATAGGACATTCACTCCTTAAAAGAAAGACGTCATTTTTTGAAAATTACAGTTTTCTAAACACTGTTGCCAGACACCATTTAATCATTGCAGAAGCCTTAAGAAGTAGTAATGATCACAGCTGGGCCAAGTAATGTCACAGTTACCCCTGTCACCAGGGCCACACATCCAGGAAATGATGAAATTGGAATGGGACCAGCAGTATCTGACTGCAAAATATAGGCTATTTAACAAATACCAGATAAATTGAACATCTCCCTATACCACCACCCTACACTTTGTGACTAACATGGTTCAGATATATTATTTCCAAACCCCAATAATTTGGTGATCTTGGGAAAGAAAAATGATGACAACTTCTTTCTCAAAAAATGTGAGGTGTTGCCTCCCAGGTAGAGAGCATGGATGTGTCTGGTATTTATCCGTAACATAATAGATGATAGTTGACTGTAAATCTCAATGAAGATACTGGAGTTAAAAGGGAGATGGCACTGATACATGTAATATTCCTAGCATGTAAAGATCCTTCAAATAAGGGACTGCTAGGTGTGACACTTGAATGGCCAACCTGAAGTCAGGGCATTGATCCTTTTCTGTAAGATGATTTTTATCAAAGAAGTATAGAGCAGGCAGTGGGGGTAGGGGGTTCTTCAGTACCTTATTTTCAGCATTTACATGGCAGAAAACCAAAATGGCACTTGGCTACCTACAGTTGTCCACCTATACATAGAGATTATAGGCAAATGGCATTTGTTTTTCATGTTTCATGAAATTGATTTGGCCAGTGACTATATATTACTTGAGTTGGATGGGTAGGTTTAGAAGCAAACCTTGGTGATCTTTTTAACCCTTAAGGTGAGTAGCAATTTGAGAGTGCTAAAAGCAGCACTGATTTCCTTCATTTTAGTACAAATAAATTGTCTGAGAGAAACAGGATAATCAAAAATTGAACAAAGACGAACTATCACTAACAACCTGAGTTTGCCATGATTAGCTAAGTAACAGCTAGATCATCTTACCTCCATTAAGTCAACCAAGACTATTCTAAATTTATCTTCGGAGAATCTATGTGAGGACGTTCTGACTATGGCAAAAAAGGGGCTAGTTTTCTAAATATGCCACCAGATTCGCAGATAACAAAGTATTTGAAAGTAAGGCTCTATTTCCTATGCCTTTTGTAGACCATAGAAAACCATTTTCTATGTCTTTTGTAGACATGGGTAACACTATTAGAGAAAAATACTACTCTACCTATCCTGATTGAAACAAATGATATGTAATTTAATGTAATAGGTCTTAAATGGTGCGGCTCTCATCATCTGCAAACCAGCTTCATCATCTGTATCATGAGGATTATAATAGTGCCGATCTCAAAGGATTTTTTTGTAGTGATCAGATGTGAGACTGTACCTAA